AGAAAGTAACAAGTTTTTCTTCTCCATTCTAATTGTTACATCAGTTTCTTTAATTTTGCGTCTGTGGTTTGGCCAAAAGTCTCAGAACAATATTAACTAATAGTGATCTGAGAGGGCAGCCTTGTCATAAGCATTATTTTCCAGGGAAAGGCCTCTAAATGTTTCATCTTATTAAGTAAGACACCAGCTGTTACATTCTATCCTTCTATTTCCAGTTTTCAATGATGATTAAGACAACTTATTAATCTTCTACATCAGGAATGAATTTCTAATTTCATAAAGTATCTAGTAATGCATGGTTTTTCACCTCTGAATTAATGACAGAATATATTTAAAGGTCTAGATGTGGGTTTTATATTGTTCTAGTCTATGCTGAAGAAGAACATCACCCCCAAATTCAGTTTTAAAAGGTGTTATTTGGAACTCCTTTAAAAATATATATGATCTGTCAACCCAGATATTGATATCAACTGTGTCTTCTTCAAAGTTGTAAGGAACCTGTCTTATAAATCAGCATTTGGGAGTCAGCTGAAAACTGCAATTGTCAAATAGGAAGCAATGATGATGAATGGACGTGTTAGGAACATTACCTTCTGAGGGTCAAGCTTGCCCAGGACTACCTCCATGAAATCTTCGTCTGAAAGTGTGAAGGTCGTATCTGCAGAGCCTACTGCAGGGCCTTGATAGACTTTTCCAGAACCATTTTTTAGGTCAATAGCTGTCAAAGATAGGAAGAGAGCAACGTGTGTTATTTTTTTTTTCTTCACAACAGGAGAGTAAAATAAAGCAAACAAAATGCAAACATATTTATAGTTTCCAAGTTAGTGTGGCGCTTTCTACATTACACGTTCTCTGTCATTTAGAAAAATTAGAAAATCCTTTATTTTTCAAGATGTCTTTTTTATAAAGAAGTTCTTCACAAGAGTAAAAATCAATAATAGTTTCACTTCACTGAAGAAGTATATACAACAGAGACATTTTAAATGTGAATTAATGTAGAGTAAGATAGAAGGAAGCTAAATTGTTGGTGGTTATATGGTTAAGGCCTTTAGGTTCAAATACAAACTCTATAGTCAACAAAGGAAGAAAGACGAATTTTAAAACAGGTGCATGCTGGATACACCTGGGTGTCTCAGTTGGTTAAGCATCTGACTTTGCCTCAGGTCATAATCTTGCTGTTTGTGGGTTCAAGCCCCGCATCAGCTGTGCTGACAGCTCAGAGCCTGGAGCCTGCTTTGGATTCTGTGGCTCCTGTTGTCTCTGCCCCTCTTCTGCTCATTCTCTCTCTCTCTCTTTCTCAAAAATAAATAAACATTAAAAAAAAAATTTAAACAGGTGAATGTTAGTTCGGTTGGAGGAAGGAAATACACAATCTAGTCACCTTTTAAATACCTATGTTCATCAAAGGTTCTGTCATAGCAAGATAGTCAAAACAGATGCGTAAAAATGTTCTAATTTGTTGCGTGTACTTAGTATTTATTTACAAAATATTTCTTGCCCTAATTGTTGCAAATAAACATTAAAATTAACTTATTTTCCAGGGCACCTGGCTGGCTCAGTCGGTTAAGCGGCCGACTTCAGCTCAGGTCATGATCTCATAGTTCACGGGTTCGAGCCCCGCACTGGACTCTGTGCTGACAGCTCAGAGACGAGCCTGCTCCAGATTCTGTGTCTCCCTCTCTCTCTGCCCCTCCCCTGCTCTCTCTCTTTCTCAAAAATAAACATTAAAAAAAATTTTTTTTTCAATTTAACTTCTTTTCCCTTAACTGTTTTTGACAGAAGTATTTAAGTATCCCAGAAAAAGGCGGGTAACTGGGAAAACTATGAAAAATTACCGTCATTGCTCCCTATAACATTTATAGAGTTGAATACCAAAGCCACAATTTACGAAGTTTTAAGTGCCTCCCATGTGACTGAGACCACCATCCCCTCCTCCAGTGCCAGCCTCCGGAAGGCGCTTTCTCTTGCTACAGCAAAGGAGCTACAATCCCATCACAGTCCCTAAGAGTGTGCAGAGAGCTCCCAGCTTAGGGCCAAGCTACACGTGCATGAGGAAAACCCAGAGTGCTTAACTACCTCCTGCTTAGCCCAAGACCTGCTCCAGAGGGGAAATGGTATCACTCCAACTCTTCAGAGTACAGAAGCTGGCCAACGAAGGTAAAACAAGAACTCAACGGAAAGTCACCTTGGGGAAGAAGAAGGGCAAGGAGAAAAGGAAGTTTTTGCTTCGTACACTTCGTTCACTCACTCCACTGCTGAGTTTCCACTACGGGTGTCAGACAAATGCAAGGTACTAGAAGTCACGTGTGAAGAGCAAAGGCTCTGTTCTTACTGGCACTTACCCATGACATGTGTGTTCTCATGTACCGCTTGTAGAGTTAAACAGAAAGAGAGAAAAAGGGAGGGAGTCAGGAAGGGTGGGGAAGGAAAGGGCGGGAGAAAGACTCTAAACTCTAAAAGGCAAACCTCTGGCGTTCAACAAACAACCTTCATGATGTTAATTCGTCACAAGTGAGTCTAAAAGCCCACACCAGTCCTGCTCAGGAACATTAGTGGGCCGCACACATCTTAATGCTCAGGTGAGGAAGGAAGGCTCTGAGCTAACGAAGGTTCTTATCTGTCCGCCTGCCCTCTCACTCCCCCTGGTTCTACGTGCGGCTTCACAGCCATGACTCTTGGAAAGCAATACGACTCTCTTCTGTGGAAAGCTAGAAACTAGGACTGATGAAAGAGAAGAGGGCTCAGAAAGGGAAGGTTCTTAGGGAGTATGGGGAAAGGATTGGCATGTCCAATTCCAAGGTGGCTCAGGTCATGGTCTACAATATGGCTCGTTCAGGAGACTCATCATCCACCACCATTACCTTGAGTTTACATTCACCCACTGGTAAGGTCATGGTTATTCTTATTGAAATGAAGAAACATACTATACGTATTTTCTTTTACTGGTAGCAACTATTTTAAAAGCTTTGTGCATGACTTTAGCTCTGTATTTATATGATCATTAAGGCTCCGAAAGAGTCTATGAAAATTTCAGTTGTACTTTACAACATTTAATGGGGGTGAGAGACCATGCCATTTGGAAAACTGGGGATCTCTAAAGGTCTTGGGATATATGTACCTTACAAATCACAAAGGAGAAGGCAGCTGTTTATATTGATGCCTCCTTCCCTGAAGATTATAAATGCTCTGCTGGAACAAGAATGTCTTGTCTGTATCCCCTACACTTCCTCGAATAGAAAGTACTTAGAAACTATTTATTAACGGATGATTAAAAAAGCACATCGATGAAGCATCTCTATTAAAAAAAAATAGTAACAACAACAAAATGAAAACTTAAGTTAAAAAAAGATTTTTGGGGGGGCGCCTGGGTGGCTCAGTCGGTTAAGCATCCGACTGAGGCTCAGGTCATGATCTCACGGTTTGTGAGTTGGAGCCCCACATTGTGCTCTGTGTTGACAGCTGAGAGCCTGGAGCCTGCTTCGGATTCTGTGTCTCCTTTTCTCTGTGCCCCTCCCCCACTTGTGCTCTCTGTCTCTCAAAAATAAATAAATGTAAAAAAAAAATTTTTTTTTAATAAAGATTTGTTTTAAATCACACCATGAAGGACACAATACTTTTGTGCTGTTCCTGCCAAAAACTCAAACTCAAACTAATAATCATGGGAAACATCAAATAAACATAAACTGAGGAACATTCTACAGAATATCTGGGCTCTATTCTTCAAATATGTCAAGGTCACAAAAAACAAGAACAGACTGAGGAACTCATCCAGATTAACAGACTCAAGAGACCTAATAATGAAATGTAGTATCTGATCCCAACTGGACCCTGGACAGCTCTTTCTTTTTCTTTCTTCATTTCTATTATTGTTGTTATTATTCTTTCTATTGTTACTCTTTTGCTATAGAAAACATTAGTGGAACGACTGATGAAATAATAAAGTCTGTAGATTAATTAATACTGTATCAATGTTAACTTCTTGATATTGAGAGTGGTTCTATGAATAGATAAGAGACAGTCTTTGTTTTTAGGAGACGCTACTGGACTATCCAGGGAATAAAGGACACTGTATCTGTAAGTTTCAAATGCTCTCAAATGCTTTAGAAAAATGACCATAATATGTACGATGAAAAAAAATAGATCCAAAATCTATAAAGAGCTCACCAAACTCCACACCCGAAAAGCAAATAACCCAGTGAAGAAATGGGCAGAAAACATGAATAGACACTTCTCTAAAGAAGACATCCGGATGGCCAACAGGCACATGAAAAGATGTTCAGCGTCGCTCCTTATCAGGGAAATACAAATCAAAACCACACTCAGGTATCACCTCACGCCAGTCAGAGTGGCCAAAATGAACAAATCAGGGGACT